CCCCAAACTCCATCTGGAACATAGCAGCTTTCCAGCAGAAAGTCCTGTGGTTTGGCTGAAACCATTCCCAAGGGGTAGAAAATAACCAAGGAAGGAGCATCCTCTGCATCCACACAGCCCAGGGTGAAACCAGCACAGCCCAGGGAGAAACCAGCACAGCCCAGGGAGAAACCAGCCCAGCCCAGCGAGAAACCAGCCCAGCCCAGCCAGGTTCCCTCTCCTCCAACCCCACCTCATGCCCACAAAACACTACAGCCCTTCTCATGGATCTAAGACCCAAATTTCAAGGAAACCACAGACATCAAGCCCCTGAGCATTTATTTTTTCCCAACCCCAAGGTTGCTGGAAGAAGGGTTGAAGCTTTGGGGAGGGTGAGGACAGAGCTGCCAGCCACCAGCTTTACCCACTGCAGGCTGAGATTTGCAGCCCCCCAGGGCAGTCCAGGCTCTCCAGAGGACAAGGCAGGACCCTTTGGTGCCTTCTCATCACACCAGTTACCTGATCTGTGCCTTCCCTCTCCTTCCCCTGGGCCCCAAGGCAAAACAGGGAGTGCAGAGCTGAGGAGAAGCAGAAACCTGCCCCCATCCCCAGGGCTTTCTCCCTCTCTCCCCACCCTGCAGCCCCTTCACACACAGCATGGTCCTTTCTTCCCTTTTTTCCCTGCCACACACAGCACTCCCAGCCCTCAGGGAGAAGGAGCCTGAGGGATTAACAACAGTTTGTATTAAAACCTGTTCCCCCAGCCCAACCAGAGCAGGAACCAGCAGAAACTTCAATTAAATTAATCTTCCCAAATATGTCAGAATCAATGGATTCAATTGCACGAGGGTAAAAACCCCCCCATGGAACACCAGATTTCTAATCCAGTTAAGAGCCCCCGTGCCATGAGCTTTAACTAACTGGGTTTGTGGTCCTGCTGGATGACTGGAAGCTGGTGCTGGTCAATGAAGAGCTGTAACACCAGCTCTGAAACAGCATTTGATTTTCTTTTTTTTTAAAACCAATGGCATTTGAAGAAGAAAAACCAAAACAAACCCCCCTAGTTTA